CTGCTGAACGAGACCATTTGGGTGGAGGCTATTCTCTCAAATTCTTTCTGAAATTATTCTGTATCCTGATGGTATTTTCACACAGAAGACAGGATGTGGATTTCAGTCTCACCCCTACTCATCTCCCCCACTAGATTTGTAGAAAAAACTCTACAAGGGGAAGCTAAACTCCTAATTGGCTTTGTAAATCAAGGCTCAGCAATGGTTTGTGCAGATTTCACTCATCGCATCAGAGATATCTGCAATAATTTCTACAGCGGTGCTCACCACTTTCATCTTTCTCCATAATCAGAGAGGAGAAGACAATCACAGGTGTGATTCACCTGTTTTCTCTTTTAATGTGAGATAAACCATATCCTATACTCCACTAATTTAACTGAGAAGGGAATGAGGGTCGCTGGTCAGCTGCATGTTAACAGGGTAGATACCTACATCTTCTTTTGTGAGTTCCTCAGCACAATACGGGCATAAACATTGAACTGTGGCCATATATGCCACAGAACAGGAAAGCTCTCCAGGTTGAACATTGGATCTAAGATGCTTACATACGCAAATCAATATCAGAAACAGAAGGAAAAATTAATCATATCTTCTGATCACCAAATTTCTGTTTCATCCTTGCCATTGTGATGAATGCACATGAAATTATTTCCCACACAGCACTACCTACCCAGTATCATCAAAGTGAAGTCTCAGCACTGCCCAAACAGTGACACAAATTGTTGGGGTACCTGCAAAAGAACAGATGGTGATATCATTAGCAGTCTAGACACATTTAGTACTCAGCAATGAGCTCTTTCTACAACCTCCCCACCAAGGTTTTATTTCCTAATAGCGCTCATGCACGAAACAATGAAATTCATTACATTAATTCAGAGCTCTAGAAATGTCTCTCTCAGTCAAAGGATGGATTAATCTTTGCAGAAGGAAAGAGAAACTGAGAAAAGGAAAGAATGATGTTGTTTCAGGCCATCATTACTCAAAGCTGTACTGTATCTTGCTGCATTAACAGAAAAACATAGTCTGTACAAGATAAAAGCAATGACATCAGTTTCCGTGTCTAGAGCTACTGTAATTATGCAATAACTGCAGAGTGGCAGATGTTGAGCTTTAATGACATTATTATATTATTTGTATTCTTATGTGGTTATGTTGTAATTGGTTTGCATATATGGTGTTTTCCCTGTTATTGCATAAATAACTGATTTTCCTTTATTTCTTCAACCAAAATAAATTAGTAGAGGATAGTTTTCCTTTGCTCACATGAATGTTTCATTTGTTTTCATGAAAAAAAAACCAACAAAAAAACCCAAAAAAAAAACCAAAACCAAAAAAGAGTATTGGGAACATAATTTCATTTCTACTCCAGACATTTCCTAACTCTTTAAGAAATGCATGTAAAATACAATTTTAATCAAAACAGTAAGAATCCACTGAGAATCCTGGATTTATTTTCCTTTCTGAAAACATTAAAATGTGATTCTGCAGTGGAAATATTTTTATAAAATGACGCAGCTCTGCAAGACAACTCCAGGTAAGTTGGATCTACATTTTATAGCAAATAAAATCTTTGACTAGGAAACTGCCTATATCTATTCAGCCACCACTGGAAAGATGAAGTGCTAAAAAGAAAAGAAAACAAGGACCTCGATAACCCCAGCCTGCAGTGGTGAATGAGACTGTCATAAGTTGACAGGAACAATTATGTTTCATACATTTTGCAAGGTTGTGTTGATGCTACATCAATTAGTCATTTGAGTGAATCCACTTAAGCGAGCCCCTGTCAAATCTCATATTCCTGCTACCAGAAATAAAAAAAATCCCTGTTAGACCTAGATGACTGATGAAGCCCTTTTCTTTTAAAGAAGTACACACAGAGGTATTTCAAAGGCAAATGATAAAAAGAAGTGAAATGACAGGCTTTGGGGAGAAGAAATCATGCATATTTAATTCAAATTGAAGTCTGCTTTTCTCACATGAGAATACCTAGAAAACATTGAGATCTTTGTGCACTTAAGATATGCACAATAATAAAAATAATCTTTAAGTATCAATCATGTGTCTGATGCTCTGTCTCATTTGAACTGATATGCACTATTTAAATTCTGATGGTATGCATAGTGTTCCAAGTTTGAAACATTGGCAGGAAGGCAGAATTAAACTAAATGTGTCATAAAAATATAGTTCAAAAAGCACACTTTAGATCTACTTGGAGCTTTGAACCATCTGCTATATGAATATACATATACTTTTCTTGAATTCAAAAGGTACATACAACTTCATCACCTTCTTTACAGTGTTTGAGTAATGTTAGAAAACAGACCAGTCCCAAAGCTGAGAGCTATTCTTGCTGACTGTATTTCTGCCCTGAGTAAGGAGGAGGCATTAGGAGAGATCTCAGGAAGACAGCAATCTATCCAGAGAACGTACCAGTATATTGCATATTTAAAAGGAAAAAAAACTGCCTGGATTGACACAGCCATATGTAGTTCGCATTAATCAAATGAGGACACTGATGCGCTCAGCACTTCTTCAGAAACAAACATCCAGATGCTGAAAAATGCTGAGCTCTTGCTTATTGCTCAGCTGAGGGGCTGCTTTTGCTGTACAGGACTTGCAGCCAGAGTCTGGGAGTGCTTCTGTTCTTGCGAAGTGCCAATTTTTCCTACCAGGTCAGGGGAACTGCTATTCAAGTCGAAATATTCAGGGGCTGAGAAAATATTGTATTAAAAAAAAACCCAACCCAAACCAAACCAAACCCAACAAAACCAAACCAAACCAAACCCAAAACCATCCACATTTGGAGCTTCTCTTAGTGTTATTAATGGAAGTTACTGATACTGAGCAGCTAGATTTTATTTATAGTATTCAACTCAAGATCAAATATTCTAAGGTTGCATTACAGAATCAATCCATCTGGGTAGCTCTTTCATTACGGAGAATGAATTTTTTAAAAACATATTCAGTTAATACAGTGTGTGGCAATATTCTCACATTCATATTGTGACATTTTCATGTACATAACTCCAAAATTCTCTTTGAAAACAGTCTTATGTCTCAGCTATAATGTGACTATACATTTGTGGATAGTACCAGGGGAAATTTGATCATCCTTTTCCAATAGTTTCTTTTCTAGTCGCCTTTCCCAATAACCTCTGTATGCTGCAGGTTATCTCTGATCACTTGGTCTCTTCTTTCTTCTCTATATCTTTGCTCCTGTTGTAGAGACTCTTTGCCAGGTGATGAGAATTTTTATGTGTATACAAGGAGGGAAAAACCAAAATCAGCTGTGAATTACTTGAAGGTCTGGGTTACAGGAGATTGTTTTTTTCAAAGGAAAATAGATTAAGTCATATTGTTTATATGTAGATTTTACACGTAAATTATACTGGATATTTCCAGATTATTTCAGAATTATGTTTGTTTGAACACAGAAGTTGAGCTCAAACTTTTTAGGGAACATTTAAAATTAATGTGTTCTTCTGCATCCACCATCTGACTTCTGCACAAAAATGCCAGCAAAGAACTATTTGAATTAACATGTTACAGGAATCAATTTATTTCCTGAAGGCTAGCATGAAAAATAACTATATGGGTTATCATCATACAACTGGCCTTTCTGAAACAAATCCTGTTTTTTCCCGTAGCAAATTTCCACCTCCCACTCAGATATGAAGAGTGTATGTGGATACTCTTTGGATATGTTTTCAATTTAGCTATTATATGGAAGAAAGGAACAAATAGAGTATTAGAAAATGGACTAGATTTAGCATTGCAGATTTAATGGACTACATCTCTGCAGGAGATGTGGTATCCTTCAGATTTCAGTTCAAGTTTATTCAGACATAAAAGAACACTATGATTTAGTCTGGAGTGGTACTTGTATACAAAGACTAAAACTATACTAAAAATGTATGTGGAAATATTAGATGGTTCATGGAGTCATCCTGCATACTGAGACGCATTTTAGACAGGAAATGTCACGTACCCCAGCCAATAATAGTGTACCAGTAGAAATATCTCCTCTCCGGGAAAAAGGTTTCTACCAATAACGTGAAAAGGTACAATCCCTCAATGAAAAGCCAGAAGTAGTTGGACATGACACAGTAGTGAAAAAACACCATCACTGCTTTGCATTCCACCTGCAGAGAATCAAGAAAAACAAAGTTATTTCTATGTCATTCCCACCTAACAGATAGAGAAAATGCTTTCAACCTCTCCAAATCTCTTAGTGGAAAGGAACACAGCTGGGGCTGGTATTGTGCAATTTTAAAAGTAAAGTTTTAAAAGCATGAGAAGAATGCGAGGTGCCACTTAGAGAGCAAAGCTTGAAAAGGCAGGTAGCCAATTTTACCAGTGGGAGGTGGTCAACGAATGCCTGCTGACAGCTTGAGAGTCTTGTGTTAGTGGGAGTTCACGTCATCAATGGATGCTAATTGCTAGATTTAAGCCCCCTTCCCAGAAATAAATGCAGAGAAGAAAAGAATCCAGTCGTGTATTGAGAGACCTAAGGAAGGATGTGAAATGGCAGAATGATTGTGAAAAGCCCTGAGAGTGGGATCAGAGAGGATGCACCCTCCTGTGTACCATTGAAAATTGTACCTCGTTGCTGTTTGTGGGTGTTGTCACTCAGGGCAAAAAGTGAAAGTAAGTGTAAAGAAAACAGTTATTTACTGTAAAAACAATAGAAGCTTTCATTCATTTACTGGGGTGAAAAGCAGCAGACAAAAGATAAAAAAAAGGTTTAGATTGGATATTAGGAAAAATTTATTCACTGAAAGGGTTCTCAAACATTGGAACAGGCTGCCCAGGGCAGTGGTGGAGTCACCATCCTTGGAGGTAGATGTGGCACTTAAGGACATTGTTTAGTGACAAACTTGGCAGTGTTTAGGTTAATTGTTGGACTTAATGATCTTAAAGATCTTTTCCAACCTAAATGATTGTATGATAAAACCCTTAGGTGGAAATCGAGCTCTACTGTGACTCTGTGAGAGTAGGACACACTTATCTTTCCAGTGTTGCATACTAGTGAGACATCATTAGTTCTACAAAAGTAAAACTTTTCAATAAATCAGAGCAGAATCAATGTATAAACTGGAAGCTCCTGCCTGGGGCAGCAGGAGGTTGACAATTTTGGCTATTTCACACTTACACTTGAACCTCTAGTCCAAATGTATGACCAATATGTTTAAACCACCAGGACTTGAGTTTTTTCATAGAAACTCTACTAGGGCTGGTCACTGGATAGCTGATTTAATGTGTTTATTCTTCAAGCATTTCAAAACAAAGAAACAGATGCCACTATTAGAAGGGTGGTATGAACAAACTACAGCTCTATAATGGCTTCAGCTTCATGATGGCAAAGAAATAAAAGCAAAAATTGGTTTCAGTGACAAAGAAAAGGCTGACTAAGAAACTACACAGCGGCACTTTCCTTGTGGAAGTGACTCATAGGGAATTTAGCTCATAACTGGGTGGATAAAGGAGATCTCTGTTTGGGAACTCAATGTAATTCCATCATAATTACACCCGGTAAGCTGATTTATCAAATCAAATACAAGCCTCAAATGTGAATGGAATTGGGATTTACATGTAGCCGAGTGCCTCTGTGAGAGAGACTGCTTTCCATGAAACCACACACTTCAGGACAAACACCCAGCTAATACTAATGACTTCTTGAGAACGTGACCAACAAGGGTACTTTCTGTGTCTGACTGGACACTCTGTTTACACATGACTGCCTGACATCCAGAACAAATAAGGCTCTGAATTAAAACCAGACCTTCAGATGAAGGAAATTGCTTGTATCTGCTTTCATCCCACCTATCAATGTGCCGATCTGTGACACAGAGAAACAACCTGAGTAGAGTCAGAAACCAAAACCTATAAGTTTGTCCTGAAGGACAGGCCACTGAACAGAGATTATAACACACACAGTTCTGCTGTGAACCAGGAGGCTTTTATCACCAATTAACTTCTCTCCCAGTAACTTCTCAACTTATGATACTGAGCAGACTGCTGCCTGCCTCACTATTTATTGTTATTGCATCCTGAAAAAAATAAAGGAAAAGGCTTTGGCTGGCTTTAGTTTTACTTACCGTTGAGATAAAACAGTGGTTGCCATCCTGTTCAGCATAAAGAACCCCATCTTTAATGAATACAGATATTGCACGTAGGATGAATGAAACAAAGAGGTTCATGTGGATAAAATTTCGCGTGCAGTGAAGCTTCCTAGAGGGCAAAGAATAAAGGAGAAGAAAAGAAGAGTAAGAAAAAAACCAACCTTTTCCTTTGTGGAAACAGCACATTAAACCTATTTGTGCACATTGTCAAGACACCTTGGTACTAAGAATAGCAACATCTGAAAAGCAGGAGAGGGGATAATACCGACCCTAAACTTTGCAAAGAGGAGAATTTGGGGATTTCTCTGTAAAAGCTTGCAGGGTAGCATAAACCAGACCCAGTCCAAGGCAGCTTCTGCAGCTGCATCTACAATTTACTGAAATGTGGCTACTGGAGCATGTCCAAGCTGGAGGAACAACTCTATTGGAGGGTTGTCTCGCTCTTATTCTACATCTGATGAGATGAAAGCTTAAACATTGTTTAGAGCTGATGAGCTCCAGTTTCTTTCCTCCAGTGACTGAACAGCTCATGTTCTGACTCACCTGAAACGACACAGGATAACCATGGCGGTGGTGAGGGAAACGAGAGAAGTGCTGTATCCCACTGTGTACAGAGCCTTCACAGAGAGATAGTAGTAATCCTTGGGAGGCAAAGAACACATGGTTAAAAGAATAATCTACATCTTCTTTA